AACCGCCTCCTTCCCTCCCTCCCTCCCTCCGAGCCTCGATCTTCTTCCGATCAGGACCTCCCTCCGCCTTTTTCTTGCCGCTGGATGGGGCGCTGTCGTCGGGTAGGGTGAGCTCGATCGCGCGGGTGCTCGGCGATTTTAGAGAGAGTGTCGCGCGCGTGGAGGAGGGCTTTTCCCCCCCTTTGCCCATGGATCGGTCGGCGATCACCGTCGGGCCCGGCATGGACCTGCCGATCATGCACGACAGCGATCGGTACGAGCTGGTGCGCGACATCGGATCGGGGAACTTCGGCGTGGCCAGGCTGATGAGGGACCGGCAGACCAACGAGCTCGTCGCTGTTAAGTACATCGAGAGAGGGGACAAGGTTCGTTGCCCCATTCTTTTCGCCCCGTTCTGGCGGTTACTGATTTAGTTAAGAGGATGTTTGGCTGTGTTGGACTTGGTCCGCGATTCTTTAAGGTCGCGTTTTAGTGAACTATGGAAAGTTCGAGAGCTGACGGCATTGTTGGCAGGAAGTTCCTGATGTCCTGAGCTCTGTTGTGGAGAATTTAATGCCAAATTTGGAATCGTGAATATTTTTATCCCGACTTGCGAAGATGTTTTAAGTACTTGTGTATTCATCTGTTCGGATCCGAACAGAATCTATTCGAAAGTCGTGCTTCATTTAGAGCTGTGTATTTGGAGTCCAAATTTGGAAAGTATATCCTCTTCCCAAGCTCACGATGCTGGGGCATAGCGAGTCCTCGAAGTTTGTTCTTGTAATCATACTTTCATACATTGTGAGGAGGACTAACTTTCTGGTATCATTAAAATTTTGTTCGAATTTGCTGCTTTTCGCGGCTGACACGCTCATAATCGTCATGTGAATTCTTAGATAATTGTCCCTAGTAGTTGAGGGGTTTTATTCACTTGCGGTTATTAGGTTCGCACGAGATCTTGATCATATGATGCAAATGTTGAGAGAATGGGGTTTAGACCCATATGTTAGATTTTTGCTCAAGAACTGTAGCTTTCTCTTCTAATCGAGAAGTGACGTATGTTGCTATCTTGTGACAGATAGATGAAAATGTACAAAGGGAAATCATTAACCACAGGTCACTAATACATCCCAACATCATACGATTTAGAGAGGTTTGTATCCGGTGAATCCCTTTCACGAGTGAGAATTTTTCCTGCCGTTCTTCCGATTGGGTTATATCACCTCAGACCCTTGTTCCGCCGTCTCTCTGTAGGTCATATTAACGCCAACTCATCTAGCTATTGTCATGGAATATGCAGCTGGTGGAGAGCTCTTTGAGAGGATATGTAATGCTGGCAGATTCAGTGAAGATGAGGTTTTTATTTTTCTTGTGGAATCTTTTTCTCCTTCTCCCGGCGATATGCTGCTGAACAAGTAAATGGATACCTTCTTTTGCTGCAGGCTCGGTTCTTTTTTCAACAGCTCATATCGGGAGTTAGCTATTGCCATACAATGGTACGCCAATCTCGGATTTTCTTTTCTATTCATCTCACTTGGATACGTTGTCCAGTCGTCGAGTCTGATCCCCTTTGTACTCATCATCCAGCAAATATGCCATCGTGATTTGAAACTGGAGAACACATTGCTGGATGGGAGTCCAGCTCCTCGTCTGAAGATCTGTGATTTCGGTTACTCGAAGGTCTGATATGCTCACTTCAGTGAATTTCAGATTGCGATTCTTGTAATTGTTTAGGTTTGCTATGGATACAGAAGTTGATTGGCACTTGATGTCAATTTTTTCAGGAGAGATAACTGTTCATCATGTGTTATATGCAGTAGAGCTTTGTTCTTCTGTTAGCATCTCCTCCATGCTGCGCCAAAAGCTTTTGTTTACTTATCTTACCTATCTCTTTGTTTTTTAATCGTTGTCAGTCGTCCTTGCTGCATTCACAACCAAAATCAACTGTTGGAACCCCTGCATATATTGCTCCTGAAGTTTTACTCAAGAAAGAATACGATGGCAAGGTATTTAATGTTCCGTGCCTCTAGTGAATTCAGACTCTGGGATTTTCTGGGGTATGACTGGTTGATGGTGCTAGTCCTCCTTTCATCTCTTTGTCACTACTGCTATTCGCTATTTTAAGTCTAATTCTCCTAAAAAAACATATCAACTGAGTGATCTTTTATTTCTAGATTCAACTATTTTGCGGATAACTAATGATGATTTCAGATTCTTTGCAATATCGCACTTCTGATTCGGTCTTTAACTGCCATCAGGTTGCAGATGTCTGGTCTTGCGGTGTGACCTTATATGTGATGTTGGTGGGTGCTTATCCTTTTGAGGACCCTGAGGACCCCAAGAACTTCCGGCGAACCATACAAGTAAATGATGGCTAAATCTAGCAAGTCACTTTTCTGATTGGCAGAACTACTCTTGTCTGATTTTTTTCTTCGTGCAGAGAATTTTGAATGTCCAGTACTCCATTCCTGACTATGTTCATATCTCTCCCGAGTGCAGCCATCTGATTTCAAGGATTTTTGTGTCTGACCCCACGAAGGTTAGCTTACCTGCCTTTTTTGTTTTACTTGTCCATCGTCGGCATGATTGTAGCTGTCCATCTGATGTCAGACAAAGGGGAAGTCTATGTTTGGGTCTAGTTTGAGCTGTACACCTTAGCTTGGATGGGTCTTCTGTTTTTGCCGTGTGCTATACTGAACTTCCCAAAGTCATAGTCGGGTTTCGTAAATAACCTCACATTGAATTCTCTTTCGGGGCTACTTGTGTGACAGCACTATGTGCACTTCCTAAGGCTTTGGATAGGAGGGAGGATCGGTGCATAATTTTATTCCTTCTGCCTTGAGCAGACAGAAGGTGTTGAGCACTGATTCGACATTCATGTTATATCCCTCTATTCATGTGTCAATTCATTCATTTAGACTTGATGATTTTGTTTCTTTGCTTTGTGCTGACTTCATTTGATAAGACATGGACAAGGAACCTAAATCTTGCGAATCTTACATCATGTTATTTTGCTGCAGAGGATAACGATTCCTGAGATACGGAATCATGAGTGGTTTCTGAAAAATCTTCCAGGGGATCTCATGGATGACAACACAAAGAACAATCAATTTCAGGAGCCAGATCAGCCTATGCAGAGCATGGAGGAAATCATGCGGATCATTTCTGAGGCCACTATACCTGCTGCTGGTACCAACAGCCTCAACCAGTACCTGACTGGTAGCCTCGACATTGATGATGACATGGATGAAGACCTGGAATCAGATCCCGAACTTGACATTGATAGCAGTGGCGAAGTAATCTATGCAATGTAGTCGTGACAGTAAACTTTCATAAGATGATGGGGGTATATTGTATATCTTTCTGCAAATCAGAAGTGAAGTCAGGTGGTTGATGCTTCTCTGTGGTGTTCATGATGGTGAACTGTGGTGCTGTATGTTGTTTTATTGTCACAGATGCATCTTTTAACTTAAAAATCTTGTTTGATCTGATGTAGACACCTTGTTATATCTGCTGCTTTTAAGGGGTTTCGATTTGCTTACTTTCATGCCTGGTGATTTCAGCGTGAGAAGTTTTTTGTGGAACATCGTTTTGGTGATGTGAAGGTGCATAATCTGATGGGTAAACGAAAAAGAAACTATTTCGCTTTATTTGATGTGTTGGTTGTGCCCACTCTTTTCTTTTTCCGTGACTAAGCTCTCCCAGACTGAACTCGTGATGGGAAACTATGAAGAATAGCATAGCTCTAATTTGTTTCCTATGGCCGAGAATCGAAGATGACCGGGTTTGGCACGAGCTCAATATAATCCTAAATGAAAAGGGTAAATAGCGTGATGGTCACGAAGTTGCTTATGACAAGAATGCCGCAGGGGCAATCGCCGGTCTGTTAGCCAAATTACCTCATTGCTTGTCAATTAATGCAAGAAGAGAGGCTCAACAGTTTGTCAAGATATTATACATTCCGTTTTCTTCTTGTTGGAACTTGCGAGAACTTCAGTACTTTCTGCAAGTAACATCCTATTCGACGAAGCTACAAGAAAGAAACGAGAGACAAACGCCAGCTTAAGAGCATATGAGCTATGGAACAGGGCTCGAAAACAAAGTAAAAAGCCATCGTGCAGCTTCCCTCTAGCAGGAGAGAGTCGGTCCAAATCACCAACTTGCTCATTCTGTTAATAGTTCTTATAGCCCAATTCCATAGCCCTTTTTTTTTTTTTTTTTTGACTTTTGCAGGACGTGCAGATGAATCCGCTCGAATCTGAAATCGATCGCATCCAAATCTCCAACCCAGAAGCTGGTATGAATCGCTTTCTTTCCCCTGCATTTGGGCCACCACAACCTTCGGTTGATGAATTCCAGAGGTACCTGGGTCCTGAACATGTCTTTTATTGATATAGAATAAGATGAACCAAAAGTAGCACAAATGTCTGGGTGGTGTAGTCGGTTATCACGCTAGTCTCACACACTAGAGGTCCCCGGTTCGAACCCGGGCTCAGACATTTTAACTTCTGGACACTGATTTTGTCCGTCCTTTTTATTTATCGTCATTCTGTCTTTTATGTTATAATAATGTTCCCCTGAGTCTATAAACACATGTTTCGAAGCTCAAATCGATAAATACTCATTTCTCGAAGCAAGAAAGCGAGGTGGCAAAAATTTATGTTCAGCAAAGTCCCAGTGAGATATACTAAAATCCCTCGTATTGCTTTACGCTTCATTCTCTCCTGCATCAGTTTAATACCGTGTCGTTTCCATTGTGATGAATGAGACCCCCAACAACATAAAGCTTAATGCAGAATTAGCCGGCTGCTTCAGTGAAGCTTTCCATTATCACCGTAAGAAGAAGAGGAGGGGGAAAAGATCACATCCCGAATGATGAACAAATTATGCATGTACCCTTCTCTCGAGTATTTGTGAAGCCTGAAAAATGGATTGTTGTTGCCCCGTAAAAGCATAGCGCGCAATATAGCGACATGAAATCGATGGCAATCGACAATTGGTTTAAGAATATATGTGTAGAGTAAAAAAGAAACCGCGCTTTAGGTGAATAAAAAAAATCACGGAGGAGGAAGAAACATAAAAGAACCACACAATCCAAACTCTACGGTTCCTGTGGCAGCATAAAACTAGAGACTACAATTTCTGTATGATCCCACGTCAGGAGAGAACTACTCGACCAAAAGAATGGGGGACTAAACCACATAGCGGCAAAATCGGTTGATTTAGCAGATATGCGGCATGCCATGCTCTTCCACCTCCATTCAGCTTCCGTGCGGCAGCTGCCACTGACATGCCGATCCTTACTATGACGACATCCATAGCCAATTTCCTTGTAGCGATTATTAGCTGCATCACAACCCGAGGTGGACAATAAGGCGGTAAGACCATCATTTCTGACAAACCATGAAAAAATAACTCAAAGTGCTCGTTCTAAAAGGAGTGATCCTGGATTTTGCGGAGGTTCCAAATCATAAACAAGGAAGCTGGAATATAGAGATCAATCGCACTGAAATGCTAATATGCAATAGCATCGGAGGACCACCTCATTGAAAGTATATTAAATTTCTCAAATGACTTAAAGAACATAGAGTTAGGAAAATATAAGAAAATTCGTTTTTTCATTACACTTATTTGCAGTGCAGTCAGATGGTTTTAGTGAATTTCACATAAAGATGAAACAGGTATAAAATTCAGTAACAATGAATTGGTGCAGCTGGGAGGCAAAAACAGGTGCCACTGAACAAGCTTCGGATTTTCAAATTATTGAGGCTTTTCCTATAAACAGGAAAAAAAGACAGTCCCACCAGCTAATAGCAAAGTTTAAACATGGAAATATGGGTGCAAAAAAGAACAGGTAACAACCAGAAGATAAAAGAAATGACTTCCGTACCTCTGGAAACAGCAGGACCACCATCCAGAAAATTTAGACCAGTCCCTTCCGGGGCCTTCTATTCCATAGAAAAGCATACCACAAAATCCTCAATAGCCCCCCATTTGCAAAGTGAGGAATAAATATGCGACCCCAGTAAGGGTAATAAGGTCCGGGCAATTTCAGCATTGTAAAGAAAACAGCAATGGCAATCAGGTGCCATGGCACTTCTGCATCCTGCCAAGCAAGCAAAAGAACAGAGCCAATAAACAACACAACAAAGTGGTTCCCTTGCCCAGACTACACTCCAGACACAAATAATTACACTAAAAAAAAAAATTTCACCCTGCTCAAAGGCAATTTCTGGAAATTCACATGGAAGTGGAACAGAAAGTTCTACCTTAAGCAGTGGAGATAATTCCAGTGCTGTCTCGTTTAACACCCCAGCAAAAGCAACGCCAATGAGTAATGGCAAAGGCACAAGTCGCAGCTTCTTTTCATGAGCACAATAGGACATCTCGCTTAGGGAAGATACAGCCATTAACGGTACGCACAAGAACTTGAGTACTGCCAAGACAAGATCAAGAATGAGCTGAACGAAATTCTCCAAAGCTCGGATCCAAGGGAAGCTCTTGACTGGTTCTGGTGAACTGTCCCACAACTCCTTCGTCTTATCTAATAGATGACGGAAACCCATTCTTTCAGGATCGCCCGAGTGTCTTGCAGCCATTCCCATTGCACACAGAACAGGATGCCTACCATTCTGAACCGCACTCATTCGTTCAATTCTGAAGTTTTTATATCCTTTACTATAATGTGGCCAACCCAGCTGTACGAGACACATAATTTCCATGGTCAGTTACATGTCTGAGAATGCCAACCAAATCCATATCCTACTAAACTGCATGTCTATCATTTTATATCAGCTACTGGCCCAAAAAATTAGGAGAACTAAAAAGACAACAGAGAAATGATATCGTCAAAGCATCTTGACAACCATCGCAATGGAGAACAAACCCAAGAAATACAGAAACACTAATCAACACAGGAGTCTTGTTTAAACCTGGATATAGTTTAAAAACCAAGCCAAAAGCAGTATCTTCCAGGCTAAGAGGGAACAAGATTAACTAGTAAACAATATGATCAACGATACATTACAACTCGGCCAATCTCATGATCATTGGTGTTGAATGTAACCCAACCACCAAATTTAACAGTGATATAAAGTATCATCAGCATCTAAGAAGCCAAATTACCGACAATCATCAAGAACTAAAAAAAAAAAATCACAAGAAATTAGATTTACAACCCAAAGGGTGCACTTTAAGACGGACATTGGGAGAGAGAATTCAGTAAAGGACATTCTCCAGTTGTTTTCAGACAGAGGTGACGTCCGGTGCTAGCAGAAAATGAGCTCCTATAGACAGCCCAAGAAGGCACGACTTATCTAAATTCCTTCACAACACTAAGAGAAGAACCGGTGCGACTAGAGCATAAACACACCCTCGTCGAACCCGACAAAAGTTTTCGCCGGAAAAAAACACACGCAACAAGAGATTCACTTTCAGTTCACAGCGAAAGACCCAGAGAAAGAATCCTGAAAAGGGGGAGAAAAAGAAAAGACGAGAGCTTCGAGAAAAATTGGAGAATCTGGCGCTTACCCTGAATTGCCCAAGAGAAGTGGGAGGAGGAGGAGGAGGAGGAAGAGGATTCCCACACAACAATTTAGAGGGAGTATCGAGAGATGGAGACGAAGGGAAGATGGTAGCCATTTCCAAATTGCGTTCGGGGCCTCGCAAAAGTTCACGTGCTCTCTCAGCAGCTTCTGCTGCTGCTGGTGCTGCCAATACGACCGTGTATGAGATAAGGCGGTCTCTTGATTGAATTCTTCAACCCTCTCCGAATAGCTTCTGCTTCTGCTTCTGCATGTGAGAAGGGTTTAAGGGGCCAGACCGAAACCGATTCTGCATCATCAGTTGTGCTGCGCAGTTCATTTTTATTTTTCCATTTTTTGAAAAGACGGGGCGGATAATTTAGGGGTAAGCATGGTCCGGGTTTGGCCGGTCCACCCCCTAACCTTAGGACCAACCCGCACAGTGTTGGTCCTCAATTTTGGGATCGAGGACCGCCCGTCGGTTCCATGGACCCGCCCGGGAACCGGACCGGCGGTCCGGTCCGGTTCCCGGGCGGGTCCATGGAACCGGTCCCATCAAGTTTTTCTGGACAAATAAAAAAAAATATATGTGGACCAACATCGGATCAACGGAACAAAAAGAAAAGAACGTAACTTTCCATACAATTCCTATACTATGATCGGTTCCATTAACCACATCATCCATGAATCAAGTGGGTACCCATCAAATGAGTGTCCAGAGATAAGAGAGCAGAGAATTATGAGTGTCTAGTTGCGTTTTTCTTTTTAAATTTTTTTTTGGTCAGATTTTTTTAATTAAAATTTTAAAAAATAAATATATTATTATTATATTATCGGTCCGGTCCGGGTGGGCGGGTGGGCGGTTCCATACCGGGAACCGGGCCGAAACCCACCGGTTCCAAAAATTTGGAACCGGGAACCGGACCGGTCCCCTTGGGAACCACCGGTTCCGGTCCGGTCCCGGGCGGTCCCGGGCGGTCCTAGGTTTTTTGCACACCCCTAGCGGATATGAGGTGAATTGCATTTTTCAACAATGATATAAAATCTAATGCAAATATATATTAGAAAATGAAGTATAATTTGGTGTTAGGGATTTGGGCACTGTCACTGGGGTCCTAGGCCGGACTCGACTTCTGTGGATCCAGACCCAGCCTCGATAGACCCAAGCCAGGTATGGACACCGGAATCTCGAGCTCGGTTGTCAGGATCCGAGCATAGAAACTAGGGTCTTGGGCTGGCTTCTGGGGACCGAAGCTCAGCCTCCATAAATCGAGGCCTGGGCATAGTCATCGGGTTCCCGAGCCTGACCTTTGTGGACCTTGGGTCGAGTGCTAGGGAGCCGAGCACTAGCACTAGGGTTTCGAGTTCAGCTTTTGTGGTTCACTCGTCGAGCCAACCCAATTCTTCGTGCGCGGCAGTTTTTCTTTCAATGGAAAATATATCGACAAAGGGGATCGTTTTAAGAGGAACAAATCACATGGAAACTCTCATATCGTGAAGTATTTCTAATATTATTAATACATTCGAACATTGGTAAATTGCTCTTTCAATAAAGTCGAGAGAAAGGCTACAGCATAGAGCAGGCGTAATCGCTAAACCAGAGACTACATCAATTTCACTTCATAACTATGTAAAGGGCTGCAATTCGCAAGACAAGCCTATGAAAAATGGACTATGAAGACGCGAGAGCACCAAAGTCGTAAAGACTCCTGAATGTTTGTACTTAATAGTTCCTTAACATCACAAAAAAATTCAACTCGGACCGAAAATACAGATCATTACAAAATGAAAACTCATATCAGAATAAGATAGGAACATATCTCATCTTGCTATAGGTCGACTACCCTAACGCAACTCTAGTTCCTCCGCAATATCTTCTTTTGAACACCTTACAATACACTAAGATACACCAAAATAACTGTCTTAGAACATCGACTCTTAACTTATTCCAACGTCATTCACATCTTCACGAGCTCTTCGAAGAAAAGGTCACGCTGCCTGGTACCTGCAATGGCAAGTGAAATGTAAGTTAATGTTCACATAGCAGAGCAGACCAGTCATTTCATATAATTGGGCACAGAATAAATGCACGTCTTCCGACAGAAATTTCTACTATAAACCGTGTCATGATAGTTCCACTACGATAAACTAAAAGGAAAAGGAGCAATGTAAATAATGCAACATCTAAATTGAGTTTCAGCCTCGACCTTAACGAAAAGGAAAAACTAATTTGCCTTTCTTTCTGGTTTGGAAAAAGAGCACACACATGTCAAGTAATTGTAACAGACACATTACAACGTGCATATTAATATCAAGCATGGGAGTGTCATACCTACAGATAAGCCATTGGTTGTTTGTCAAGAAAGAGAAGGGCGTTGCAAAAGAAAAAAAAAGGATCATGTTACCTTTATGTAAAAACACAGAGAGAAAGAAGGTGTAAAAGGTCAACAGAAGAATAAACAAAAGCTATAGCTCAGACACAACTTGAAGTTAAGTAAGCTTTCTTGAACAAAATCCGTACATGCTCATTCACTCACAATACTGCATCAGGGAAACAATGGCAGGTAGTTAAGCCCCATATTCTCAGGTAATCCCATCATCACATTGAGATTCTGCAGAGCCTGACCAGAAGCTCCCTTGACGACATTGTCAATCTGCAAAAACAGATTTAGACGACTTACCACGATAAGATGACTTCATGTTACTGGAAACGTAAGCATTTAATATAATAACAGACACTTGAGGAACATACAACAGAAATCAGTATTGCTCGTCCAGAAATTCGATCAGGAAAGACATTCATAAGACAATAATTGGATCCTCGAACATGTTGAGTATGAGGAACATCTCCTTTTCCTAATAAAACAACGAATTCCTCATCCTGCAAGATAAGATGAATTAAGTGATCAAACGGTATGAAGTATGCGGGAATCAATCCCCAAACACAGTTGATAATATGATAAGCCGCAGACCAACATGTCTGCTACATGACTGAACAAGATCCATGAAATAAATTTACTTTGATTAAGCCTACCATGAGTACTAAAAACAAGTACCTCAGCAAAGACAAGCTAAGGTCAATACTTAGAACATTAAGCTGTTAAATGCCAAGCATTAATAGGTCTGTTAGCCAGAAAAAGGTTACCTGGTAAGCAACTTTAAGTTGCTCATATAGATCATCTACCGTTACACCTGAAGGCATTTCAACATATATAGTTGATTGCATTCCTCGGCTCTGCATATATAGATGAAGAAAACTAATAATGATTGCTGGAGAAGCAGAATTTCAACTTTAATAATGGGAATACTTCAACATTGTAACTATGACCATTGGCATCAAATGTGGAGTAAAGCTGACAGTGATCTTTGATTGCGCAGCTTCAGATAATCCCTGCTCAATCTCTGGAACTGCAGGAAAGGAAATTAAAAAAAAAGCAATCCAGATTATTGCCTTTGCTTTAATGAATTCATCCATGAGTAAGAGTCATCAAACCCCCAGACCCAGCTCAAAAGAAAAAAAGGGGGGAAAAAGAATGTCATCAGCTCACACAACAAGAACTCAAGAATGTAGACACGTAATTGGCAGATATTACACTGTGAAGCTCATTTCATCTAGACACAAACAAGGAATCTGATGGAATTCTATCGGAAGAAATTCCTGGTAGAATAGTTCTAGAGTTACATCAATCCTAGAATGCTAACCAGACAGAAACATTAGATTTTGATAACTCATGAAACACGCGCCCAAGTTAAACTCCTAGATTCCCAAGATTACGGGCAATTCACTCCCAAAGGCCATCATGCTTCCCTAATTTTTTCCGGCCAATATAATGCTTCTCCTATGAGGCAATCCTCTAAGCAACATAGATCTTATTCATGCAGACAACTTCTAAAGGATATCAAGAAATGCACTAGCAGTATGATATAAATTTTGTCCCACCACTTGTGTCGATACCTTAATTTAAACACATAAAGACACCACAATGAAATGATTTTTCAGAATTAAGACTGACCATGCCGATGTCTCGTAATACCATAAGAATGTATGCCTTCAGCTATTTCAGTGTACAAGTTAGCTTCCTTAGCACCACGTCCTGCACAAGATTTTTGATTTTAGAAATAAATGCTAAAGAGAGCTTTCAGGACTGCTCTATATTTGGATGTGGCAGGAGAGAGACCCTTGGGAAAGGGAAGGCAGGGGGGTGGGGGGGTGGGGGGGATGGGAAGAGCGAGAGAGGGGCTAACCTGCACCGCTGACACCAGATTTCGAATCTATAATGATATTTTTTGATTGAATAAGATTAGCCTGCAATTCAATGACAATGACTGAATCAAAAAGTGGCCAAAGAATGGTCTAAGGGCAGTTCATTTCATTATTCAGCTAGACACCTGAACCTTCTATAACTAAAACTTGCTCGCAGAAATATAAGAGAAAAAGGTGCCAAAGTTGTCATATAAAAGAAAGACTTTTTCTAATTTACTACAATGAAATAACACCACACTGTGTTACTCCTAGTTAAAACCGTTGCAGGACTTCTCAAGGAAATGTCCAGAATGGCTTAAACTTTTCAGCAGCATCATATCACATATTTATATTCCCTAACACTCCTCTAAATAATATTTGATGGTTAACTCTTAATCACTCTAAGCTACCAAACATGTTAATAGCTAATTACCAGGCATCATTGCAATGTACTGAAAACATGTATCGTCAACATCCACTGTTTTATGAAGGACTTGGAAATTTTTAGAGCTCCTGGAACACCCAGAAAGCCTAGAATAGCTAAAAAAACAGGAATCAGCTTCCTAAGAAACCAATCAAATGCAGCACAATAAAGTACTGCCATTGTATTTGAGTGTCAAGAATGGACAAATAAAAAATGGTAGAACATACCCTTATCAAGGGAACAAGAGGAAGTTGAATTGAAGTTGGGTAGCAACCAGGATTAGCAACTAGACGAGCATGTCTTATATCCTCCCTCGAAATCTCTGTTAAACCATATACAGCTTCTTTCTAGATAACGGTAACAAAGTAGTCAAAAAGGTGGAGAATAAAGCACATACAATAAAGTTAAATGAACATGCCAGCAATATATGTAATATCATGGCCTGTTCTGCAGCACGGAAATAACATTTTCACCATCCAGTCAATCGATAAACTCTGACAGAGTTGCATTGATGACATTATTCAGTTTACAACTTTACTTATGCATGCAAGTCACAACTAGCACGTTAAACACATGGGATTAATTCGTCGGAAACTTGTTCTCACAAAGTAAATATTATTGAGGACATACAGAAGCACATTCTCAGGCTCTTTGCGTCCCAATGAATGA